ACCAGAAGGATCAGCTGCCCCAAATCTCACTGCAAATGGTTCCCCTAGCGGCTCCTGTTATTTGCTATAGGATGTTGGTTGCTTTCTGATCCACTGGATCCATCAGCAGTGGTGTGACTGTGTTCTGTGTTTCATGGTTATGGCGATTTGTTGTGTTGTAGTGCTCATGCGGGCTCCCTGGCTTCACCTTGCTGAGTGCACGAGAACCATGCCCAGAACAAAACTGTGTTTGGGTTAGAAGTGTGAGGATTCAAGGTACTTTGCTGTATGACATTGAAATTTCAGGAGAAAGAAATGTACTTATAGCGGAATTTGGGGCTGCTGAGAACAAAGCAGTCCATGTCTGGTGAGAAGTACAGTGGTATTTGATGTCTCCAAGTGCTCAAGGTTTTAATTCGAGATTGGTGCAAAGACACTTCTTCCAGACAGAGGGAATCTTCCAGTACAAATCAGGTGCTGTTGTAAACTCGCTCTGTGCTGTAATCCTGGTGAATCGGAGAGTTCAGCCTCCAGATCCACAGATACATAAATATGCCCTGTGTGGTCTCCCAAGGGGAAGGCGAAATGTGTTTTTAGTTAAGTTGCATGGGAATTTAATTGAAGGATTTAGGGCAATGCCATAAAAGAGTAAATCACGGTTATGTGACACGAAGATTTATAAAGCAAAATAAAAATACTTTAGCACCTTTGCTTTTATGATTTGCTTGATATAAACGGAGACCTGTATTAGTAATTTTGTCTGTGGGTAATTTGAAATAGCAAAGGCTTCTCTATTTTGCTGATTTGCAGTCTTTTGGAGTAAAATAATGGGGAAGACGATAGCAAAGGTCAGAGCATTCTCTGGATGCGCTGTGGCTCTGTACCTGCCTGAGCTTCCCTCCCATGAATATTGGTATGAATTAAGCACACGCTTAACTTAATTCACATAAGCAGTTCCTCAGAAGTCAGCAGGACTATTAAGTGCTTCAGATTAAGCACAAGCTTAGCGTAAGACTGGAGCTTGTGTGGATGGTGGCCCCGAAATCTGGCTGGCCTCCAGGGCAGTGATGCTACTGCATCATGGTCCTGCTCCACGCAAGAAGGTCATTCGTAACACAGAAAAATACTCGGGGATATTTCGGAGAGGGAGAGCTAGAAATTAGTTAGAAATTAGTTAGAAATGTGACCTTCAACGCAGGTTTTGTGAGGATTCGCACAGCGTATTTATTGAAGAGTGCTGTATGTATTATATGTTGTAGCGTCGATAGGTCTAGATAAGAATGCCATAATAGCAGTTGAAATGTGGGGAGGGGGCTGTGAGATGGTAAGTTAATGATGTAGCTGTTAATTTGAATTTAGCAGACGTTTTAAATATAGGTTTCTCTTACAGAGACAAAAGTTGCAATTTAAAGCTCTTTGGTGGTCTAAAACCAGCTTAATTCTCTAGTAGCATGGTAATAAGTACTAATCCAGCTTATACAGTGATTGTAGTATGTCATGTTTGTGAAAGATTGCCTAACTCTGCTTTCTCTGGGTTTTATGTTAATTTTTTTAAATTAAACATAAAACCTTATAACATCTTTATGCTGAGATAAACTGTTCAATTTAACTTGTGCTCAAGCAGCAGCTGTCAGGAATTATCACGTTTGGAGCGTTCTTGCCATCACCTTGTGTCTCTACCTCCCGGATACACTCCGCGGGGCTGACAAAGCTCACCTTGTTGGGATTTATTGCTTAAATAATAACCCGAGGTAAAATGAGAGTTGATGTCACCCGGAATGACAACTGACATACATTCGTGTCGCGCGTTACATTATAATAAACTTTCCCTTTCTTCCCCCTGTAATAGGTGTTAAGTGGAAATACACGGCAGCGTATCCTCCAGTGTCCCTCGTCAGTCCATTAGCCGTACACGGCTGCTCTGTGGGCATGTTCACAGGGACTGGTGCTGTCAGGTGGTATTTCAGCTCGTGATGCTGGAGAAATCGGTTATGGCTGGTGGTTAGCAGCTTTCATGCCGGTAAAGAAACAAGAAGGAAGAGCTTCTCCTATTTGTCGGGTTAAATTCGGGAAATGCCGTGAAGTAACGCGAGCGAGTCGCAAAAGGTGTTTTGTAATAATATTATCATTACTTAAATTATTTTATTTTTAATTTTTCTTGCTGGAAGAAACACAAGCAGTGTCATTTCGGGCTCTAAATCTGAATTTGATTTAATCGTAACAGTTTTCTCTTGGCATTGGTTTATTGATGATCTGGACAGTAATAAGCTATGTCACAGAATCACAGAATCACAGAATCGCTCGGTTGGAAAAGCCCTCTGAGATCATCACGTCCAACCGCTCCTGTCTACCCACTAAACCATATCCTTAAGTACCTCATCTACCCGCTCCTTAAACACATCCAGGGATGGTGACTCCACCACCTCCCTGGGCAGCCTGTGCCAGCTTCTGACGACCCTCTCAGTAAAGAACTTCCTCCTTATCTCTAACCTGAACCTCCCTTGGCACAGCTTGGTGCCAGTTCCCCTTGTTCTATCCTCCGTCACCTGGGAGAAAAGTCCTTAGAGGCTGGACTGGATGATCCTTGTGGTCCCTTCCAGCCTGGTATTCTATGACTTTTGTAAGTGTCTTATCCCCTGCCATTTACAGTGAAGAAAATTTGGGTTTACCTCTTGCAAGCTTTCCAAGTTTTGACCTTTCTTCACTTACTAGAAGCTACTCTCCAATGATGCCATTGAATCCTTTGGTTGGTCTGAGTCAGTACTGCAAACATGAGATTCCTTTTCTTCATATCCCTCTCCCAGTTACTCCTTTGTCCATCCGAGCGAGTTCAGATATTTCAGAGCTTACACAGCTTTGTCCAAGCTCAACTCTTGGATCTCGTTTCTCGCCGTGCTCCCCGTTGCCCTTTTCTCTCCAGTCGTGATGTTAACCTTGGCACCCCGCTGGCTTCTCTTTATTTTGTGCCGTGCTCTGCGCTGCTTCCCCTGTTTTCAGTCCCTATGTGCCATCTCTTTTTTTCCCTCTCCTCATTCAAACACAGCCAAGTTCATAGATGTTATCCTGCATCAATTCCGTTTTCTTCCTAACTCACTGCAGAAAGAGACTTTTCTGAAAAATCAGTAAAGGGTAAGCTATAATGCAATCCAGAAATAGCCAAAATTTTGCCAAGCAACTCTATAATCTCATTTTGCAATATCTGGGGTATGTTTTCTCCTGTTTGTATTTTTCTTTGCTGCTCCAGCGCTGGACTCACAGCCATCACTGAGCAAGGGGGATTGCATCGCCCGTAGGAAGTTTTCCTGCCTCTGCTTTGAGCCTGGCACCCAGATCATTACCAGGTCCAGAAGTTATTACTCTTCACGACAAATAAGTGATGACTTACCTAAAACTGCATTTTACTCTTGGTATGGCTCATAATAAACCTGAGCTCGTCTCTTAATTGGCGTTCTGTTTGACAGTCCCTTTAGAACGATCAAATTCTGGATGAACGAGGCAGTACCATTCATCTCTTCCTTTCGGAAGCCTTTCAGATTAGCATTGACTCAGGTTGATGAAGATGGATATGGGATCTGTTCTCTAGGAAGTGTTTGCTGTGGAGATACAGATTATCAAAGAATGGGGTGTGTTAGCATAGGTGATAGGAGATTTATAGATATGTAGATATAGATGTATGCAAACACATACATATATGCATGCAAACACATATATATACACACACACATAAATCCATACATGTATACACACACATGCATACATACATATATATATATATATATACACACACACACACACATATATATGGCCCTTTGGGGAAGTTCATGAGTTTTATGGTTGACAGCCAGGATCAGCAGTTTTTAATATCAGTGATGTCAGCTTGGCAGTGATCTCAGACACAAAATCCATGTAAAAATAGGCAGAATAGGAATAAAATAGGAGGAAGAGTAGGAATAAAATAGGCAAGATTTTAAAATACTTTTTAAATGCTGTATAAATTTGAATCTGAACCACTGAAATGGTGGATGGCAAACAAAGTCAGAAACACACTATGTTGAAAAGTGGTTTATTAAAGCTTGTTGTTTTATGTGCGATAAATACCTGATCTCCATTTTTATATATGTTTTATCCCTTCTGATGAGAAGTCTCCACGGATCTGCAGTTCTCTGTAGATTCAGGATTCGGTTTGCTTGAAAGCAGAGCTAACCAGGGCACGGGAGATGCTCACATGCTTTTGGTGAATGCAGGGAAATCTGCCAGTGGTTGCAGTGGGGTCACGATTTCGTATTGCACATTTAAATACATTCATTTTCTGATAGCCTGGTAAGTTATACGAGGCTAAGGTAGCAGCTTGTTAGCAGTGTTTGTGCCTGCTTTATATAATTGAAGGATGCGTGCAGGGTTGGAGACTGTGGAGTAGCAGGAGTGCTGTGGTGCTACTGGGGTGCACGGGTAGAAACAACATTTCATTATAGAGGATACCTAATAAAAATGTGAAAATAAAACAGGAAAAGGGTGGTGAAAAGAAAAAAAAAGCAAACCAGACCATACTAGATAAGTGCACTGCATAAATCAAAAGGGTTTATGTCATAACATGAACATGTGCCATTCCTGCTCATATATTGAATTTCAGTAGTTGGTTGCATAAAGAAGTAAAGTGTAATGAAACTGGCAAGCAAAGTATTCCCTAGTCAGCCTTATCTTTGTTCCGTTTGTCCTTCAGATACAGCTTTTCTTGCCTTTTTCAATAAAATCCATCCAGCTCTTTTTCTTTTTTTTTTATTTTGCATCTCTCTGTAACCGAGCCGGGAAGACCAATGAGATTCGGCGCTTTTCTAGTTGGGTTCTTAGCAGCTGCTTTTTAAGAGATCAAAACTTCGAATGCTGCTACATGGTATTAAGGCTTAGCTATTGATGTGTCCCTGTAGAGGTTATGTTTTTCTTTGGGGTGGGGGGAGCAGGGGAAGGGGTGACCCCTGCGAGCACGTTTGCAGACACTCAACACTGCTCTCCTTGTTTTCCAGGATCCTCTTTGCAAGCTCGGTGCTTAACCTGGCTGAACTCGCCGCCCTGCGCCCTGACCTTGGCAAATTGAAAAAGGTCCTCTACTTCCATGAGAATCAATTGGCGTATCCTGTCCAGAAACGCCAGGAAAGGGATTTTCAGTACGGATACAACCAGGTTCTTTCATGGTAGGTGTTCCTCGCACCCGCGCCGTGTTATTTGAGGGATCCTCCTGTCTCCAGCCCTGCACCATGGAGTCATCCGTGGTGACCCTGTTGCAAACCAAGGTACCACCAAAGTCCCGAAGAGGGGTTGATAGAAGTGCTGTGACAGATATATCTGCTCTAAAGACTTCTCAATTTCTTGTATAAAGCCCACGGATGCTGTATCGTGGCGTACCCATTAGTAACGGGGCTTTTGACCTGGGTTTTGGCCACACCGAGCACGATGCTTTGTTTCATGGCCACTCAGCAAAGCTGTGCCTCATCGGCTTCTTCCTTGGCCGTCGCTTTTACTGCAGCCAGCTGAAATTGTATCGAGGGTTTTAGGGAAATAAACAGAAATTAAAATGTACTGCAGCACTTTTCTTGTGAAGAGAGGGCAGTAAACATACCAGATAAATCCTTATATTTCTTTCATCTAGTATTCAGAAGTTGTGCAGTGCTAAAATACCCAGACGTTTTAAAGGCTGCGGTCCTTTATTGTTGCTAAAAACAAATGTATTTCTCCAATCGGAGTTAATGAAAGAAGTTAATAACAGCAACGCTGAAAAGCTTTGTGGTTAGGCACTGTACAAGCCTAAGAGAACAAGCGAAACTCGGTTGTTTTGAACCGGAATAAATTCATTGCCAAGCTCTTTCTCACCTAGTGTTAGTAGGAGAATTATTAGGAATAGGTCTGGAGCATTTTAAGGTACGAGTTAAGCTTTTGCATCTTGATAACACCAGCCAGTTGATACCGAAATGTCTCCAATAATGATCCGTGTGAACGCTGGCCGTTCTGCAGCTGCTTCTGCCACAGCATTTGCAGTGTTTCACTCACTGAGCAGTAAAGATGGGGAAGTGTAGTGAAAGATCCTTTAGAAACAGTAGCAACCATTTCCAAATCTTGTAACAAAAACATGGCTTTTGGCACCGGGGCAAGGCATACTTGTATATATATTTTGCTTTATTATAGCAATTATTTTTCACACATTATTGTAAGCTGCTTTAATCCTCAAAATATGCCTTTTTAAGGTGATAAAAGTATTATTTTTTGCCTTAAAAAGAATACTTCTATAGATGCTCAGTTCTTTCTCCTTCAGCCTCTAGTAGCTTCTCCATGTAATGCTGCAATGTCCATCTTCCCCTTTGCTGCAGAAACATCATATTTGAGAGCAGAGAGAAGCCCAGTGTAACTGCCCAGTGGTCATCTGCAAAGAAATGCCATCTCTCAAATCCATTAGAAATGGGAAGGTACATAGAGGTTTTGGAGGTGGTGAAAATTGGAGTAATTTGAATCTTCAGGGGTTTTTTGGGTGGGTTTTTTCCCCTTTCCCCGCCGCCTTTGGTGAGCGGTGTCAGCTCTGTTCCTTGAGCAGCAGTGAGATGCGGTGAGGATGAATGACAGCCCCTCACCTCAAATATACTTTTCACCAGCCCGGTGACTTACAAACACGTGTCCTCCGTGTATCTTACGACCCAGAGGTCTGTATTACAATGCAGAACATGTGGAGAAAACCAACCGGCCGTAAAGCATTTCCTACCTCCGTTAGCCCTGTGTGGTTGCCAGCGTAGCTAAGATTGTGTCAGGGTAAACTTCCCAATATTTCTGTTTTTTTTGATAGCTTCTCATTCTCTCCAGGCAGACTCTTAAGTGGAGAAATAATTCCTACATTATCATTTAACTGCATCTTAAAATCAGTGTACTAGTTGATACCAAAACAGCAATAAAGGACAAAACATTGCATTAATATGCCAGGTTTTTTCAGACTTTTTTCTTTGGTCCTGTGTATACTATATATCCATATTTAATGAACGTACTTTTAGTCAGGTTTACGTACACACAGGTTAAAATACCATTCCATTTCTCAGTATCCTGATACCCATCACTTGGTCAGTCAATGGTAGCTTAACCACAGGTAAGTTGCCATTCAGTGTGAAGGATTATTTCTAAGGAATTTTAACTTTCTTCCTAGTTTATTTCTGTAAAAGTCGTATTACAGCGGGCCTCATCTGTTTATAATGCTTTTTTGGGATAATGACATTAATATTATTTGTAATATTTTATGATTAAAAGGTGATCCGCACATAGAATAGGATGTGCTCTTTTAGATTAATAATAATTTATTGCTTAGTTTAAAAAATATTTCAAGGAGTGAACAGGCAGAAATCAAGACATTTCTAATTACGGTACGTTGCTACTCCTAATTCACTGAAAAGGCTGATTTTAATTAGCTTTCCCCTTGCACCTTTTGTTTATGAGAATAAGTATCCCGTTTCCATTGCATTTGAAAGAATTCTGTTCCTTTGCAGCAGCAGCACGTTCATTTATCTGAACCATTTTTGCAGTTTGGTTGCTGATGTTGTGGTGTTCAACTCTGCTTTTAACATGGAATCGTTTCTCACATCCATCGGAAGATTTATGAAGCTGATTCCTGACCACAGACCTAAGGATTTGGAAAAAATAATCAGACCCAAGTGCCAAGTCCTTTATTTTCCAGTCAGGTTTCCTGATGTGAGCAGGTCAGTACACTTTCCACTCATAAATTGCCTCCAGCCTGTCAAAACTCTCTATTTATGGTGGCGTTCTAACTAATCAGCTAAAGCATCGTTAATGAAAGAGTTTGATAATATGCAAAAAGCTCCTAATTGATAAATGTATTTCAATAATCAGGGGCTATTCAGGCAGCACCCGTCCTTAGCACGCGTCGTGCGAACTCGCATCGTTCAGGCTGAGCGATATCCCACTTGTTTTAGCGATTTCCCACTCGTTTTAATCTTTAAGGACCTGGCTACTCCTCGACTCTTGTCTATATTTGTACAGGGGAGGTCAAGGAGGAGACAGAAATACTCGAAAACAGCAAAAGCGATAAGCCTGTAGTTAAGAAACTCTATTTTCCTCGGAGTGTTGCAGTGGGATTTTATTCCCTCCTCCCTCCCCTGTGCCTTTTATTGCTTTCCAGGTAGGTGAAAGCCGTCCCGGTAGCAGGGAGCAGCCTTGCAGATGTTGGCATTAGCAGCAGCCCTGGTTTTCTCCGCCGTCTTCAGCAGTGACTCTGAAGGACGTTTTTTATTACCCTCGTTTCGGAGCCCGTCTCGAAATTAGCGGTGGGTTATGTGGCTCAAAGGGAACATTCGCTGCATCCTTCTCACTTTTGATTAAACCTGGCACAATTGGTTTTCCTCTTATGAGGGGCTCTCCTCCCACCGAACAGGAACTTGGCTTCACTGGGACCGGTACTAAATAGAGGATGATCCTGCAATTTGATTATGCTCTTATTTTTGGCCGAAATAAGGATGGAAGGCACCGTAATGACTCTGCAAGAGTCCTGCTTTTGATTGGATCATAATTTCTGATCACAGCTGAGACCTTTGTCCCTGACCCGCTTGTATTTACACTTATTTCAAAGGCTAAATATATGTCTGTGGTAGTTTGGGGTTTTTAGCAGAGGAGCTCAGGCCGTGCACTTTATTGACATTCACGCTGCAAGGTTTGCATTTCAGTAACTTGGAAAACTTTCTGTTTAAAGCACTGATGCAAATGGTTTAGAAATCAATGGCTGAAGTTAAGTCTTTAAATCCATGGGTTTTGGCAAGTGGGTTAAAATCCCTCAGTGTTCCTTGGGGACTGCCTGGATGGCAGTGGAGATCGGTACCTGTATATCTGGAAGGATCTACTATTGCTTTTTGGAGACCAATTTCTTTATGAAGAGTGGTCAAGCACTGGAAGGGGCTGCCCAGGGCAGTAGTGGAGTCTCCATCCCTGGAGGGGTTCAAAACCATGTGGAGGTGACACTTGGGGACACGGTTTATGGCCATGGTGGGGTTAAGTTGACGTTGGACTTGATGATCTTAGAGGTCTTTTCCAACCTTAATAATTCTATAATTATATTGAGCAGCTGTTTTCAGCAGCGATGGGCAAATTTAAGATCACGAATGACAGAATATGAGGAGTTGGAAGGGACCCCAAAAGCTCATCCAGTCCAACCCCCCTGCCAGAGCAGGATCACCAGAGCAGTCACACAGGAGCACGGCCAGGGCTTTGAGTGTCTGCAGACAAGGAGACTCCACAACCTCTCTGGGCAGCTCTGCCACCCTCACACTGACAAAGTTTGTCCTCATGTTCAGCTTGAACCTCCTGTGCTCCAGCTTGGGACCATTGCCCCTTGTCCTGGCATTGGCCATCCCAGAGCAGAGCCTGGCTCCTTCCTCCTGACACTGCCCTTTCCCAATGGATCCCCAGGAATGAGGGCACCCCTCAGTCTCCTCTGCTCCAAGCTCCAGAGCCCCAGCTCCCTCAGCCGCTCCTCAGCAGGAGATGCTCCCCTCCCTCCAGCATCTTTGTGGCTCTACGCTGAACTCTATCAAGCAAAGTTGTTCACAAACAACTGTGGGACTGTGCAACTTTCTTAGCAGAGTAATTAGAAACACAGATTAATATCAGCTCTATTATTTTAATATATATTTTATCCGACAACTAACTCTTGATGTAAGTTCTGGGTTTTTTTAGACAAAGCCCAATATCATCACAGCAAAAAACGCAGAAAAAAGGGCTGCTTCTGCATAACTCTGAGGTTCTTTGGGTGTTGACCTTCAGCTGCAGCCGATATTTACTATTTCTTTATAAGATCATGTTTGAAATAATGTTGAATGCACCTGTGGCAATGGAATGCTGTTTTTTTAATTTAGACTATATTAGTATAGTGACCGAAAGGAGATTGAGGAGAGAAAGGTTAAGAAAAATTGTGGCCAAGCTAAAATTTATAAAGCAAGCTCTTAGCCCAGAGTGTTTTTCAAGTTATTTTCAAATGGTAATTTGCTTTATCCAAACCAAACTCATACAGTGTAAGTAAGTGATTATTTGCATGACTGACAATCATTTCAGTGCCTGCAGTCTTTTTAAAATGCATAATTTTGCTGAGATGTTGGGAAAATATTTTAAAATTCTGAAGGCAAAATAACCAGGGTGATTTTTTTTTTCCCTTTGACCTCTTTTATTTCGTGTGTGAACATCTCAGGGTGGGTTTGTGTCTGAAACGTAATCTTCATTTGGATTTGGGAGAGGGGTGATCTAAGAAATCAGCCTCACGCGTGCGAGGTTGATCTTTTTCAGATTATTTTAGATGAATATTGCAATTGGAGGGCAAAATAAAATACATCTGACCCTTGATCAAAACCGGAGCTTGTCACATGAGTTAATCCTGTAACGTATCCACCTTTTAATGTCAGTGCTGGAGTTGATGGGTACACGATCCAGCACAAGCAGTGAAGATGATATGATGAAGGGCACCCTAGGAAATACCTGTGAGTACTGTTAGGGGCACCGTTACACATATGCGTAATGTGTGTTTAAATATTTCCAATGGGCATCTCATCACTGCTTTCTGACTTTGAAGAGGAAGTTATCGATGCCCTTTTGTCAAGATTCTTCTCTTTAATAAATATTTACCCTAAGGGCACGTATTGGTGTTCCCAGAGCAAACCACCAGACTGTGGTCCTTATCTGTCAATGAGAAGAGATGAAAGGATTTAAGGATTTAGCAGAATAAGAAATTTTCTGACCTAATCCTCCTGTTTTCTGATTCTGATGGCAACCAGCTTCCATATTGCAGCCTGTGGTGCCACAGCCACTCCATATTTATAGATATGGAGGATGTATACTCACATATACGTATCTACTTGTTCATACCAGTATGAGCATCTTATGTGCCACATAGCAGATTGGGCTTTTATAACACAGGGAATTCAATATGTTGTAATTCGCACTTATATTGTCATTGGCTTAATTTCAGTCTATTTTCTATCATAATGTATCTAAAATCCTATTTTTTTCCTATACAATCAATGGAGTCTAGTTTGAGAGAATCTTTTTCCACTTTTCTATTGGAAAAATAGGGTCTAGGAAGAAAATCCCCTTTCTGCTGCTGTGGTCTTTGGTACTCACGTCTCCATAGGGCAGCAGACCCCGCTGGAGCACCTCTGCCAAAGGTCCTCGTTGATATTTTGTATGAATTCTTTTGGCCCATCTGCATCCAGACCAGCAAAGCAGGGTCAAATCAGATCCTCCTTGGAATTATTTTCGATGGAAATTGTAGCATGGATTGTGGTTATTACTACTATTTATTTCTCTGCCTGCAGTATATCTGTATTATCATTGCAGTGTGGTAGAAAAAGAAGATGTTTTTATAAGCAAGAAGGAGGTAACGTTCCTAAGAGCTCAAAATGCACATTGGACTAAGGTGGAATAATATAAAAGAAACATGAGAGGACGAGGATTAAAGCAGAAAATAAAAAATAGCTTCTTTTAAGTGGCACTTGTTAGTCAGGATCTTGTACTATCTACGTTACACATTTTGAAGTAGAATTAAAGATTTTAGACTGTTGTTGCTTCATTTGCTTTTATAACTTAGTACAGTTAACAGGACGTTTTCAACCATTTGGTGTTATATTTTGTTAGTTATAGTGTAAGAGAGGTGGAATTTACTAATTTAGAGAGTACTTTAGGACCAGCCAAGGGAGTTCCTGACTGAAAGCAGAAGGTTTTTAGAAGACTCTGACAGTATCTCTGGTACAGAAATGTGACTGTCACGTGTGGAGGAGGCTGTTTTGGGGGGGAAGAGATAAATAAATTGTATTACTTGGGCCAGGCTTGCGGGGCTGAACTTCAGCCCTCTGTTTTTGGTTCCTCTGTAATCCTAACGCTATAGAATAGCTTTGTGCTGGAAAAATACAGATGGCAACGGGCAGGGAGAGACTCAAATCCATGAGAGCTATAGATGGGCACTGGGGATGTGCCTGCGTTGCACAGGGTGATGCTCAACAGTGGTACCCAAGTGAGCTCTAGCAAACTGTCATGCATATAGGAAGCAGTCTACCTTAGAAGAGCAGTTTTTGGCTAATTAGCCTCCCAGTAAATAGCATATATTAGCTTAGGTGGAGCACTGTGCTAATGGTAGTGATCCTGGCGCTGAGGCTCCCGCCTTTGGTGGTGCTCGGGCATCTCCGTGGTGCTCCCTCTGGTAGGCATCGCCTCCCTGCCACCACGGTTTATGGGTAATTAGCATCATTAGCAAATGCCAATAGACTGCTCCTACCTTGGGGCTTGCTGCTGAAGAGCTGGGTGATGGAAGTGACTCCTCCGAATGCCTTTCCTCCCCACCTGCCGCGAGCAGGTTTTGAGGGTTGGCGTTGGCACGCCAAGAGTTAGCAAGATCCTCGTAAGTACACAGTTATGTAGGGGAAAAGTCAAATCGTGTCTGTGAAGTGCCAACGAGCATGGGGGATGCCCTCAAGATCTGGGACACAGCACCTATTGGGAGGAAAGCGCACTGCTGGCTTAAAAGGGTTATAAAACAGAGTCTTTCAGTGCTGGATCAGTTACCTTCTGCATCTCTGGGGTAAGTGCCAAGTGACAGCCATACCTAGAGCAAGGGGTTGGGTGGCTGAGTGAAGGGTGTCTCCATCATCCATACTCAGTGGTGCTTCCTCCACACGTGCATCGTGTGCCATTGAGGAGGCTGGGG